GGATTCATTTTTACCCACGGCCCACAGAGCAGGCAAGTCTTTATGTTTGTGAATAAATTTATGATGTAAACATTTAACATTATGTCCTATCTCTGCTTCTGTGAAATATTTCTTGCCTAACACTCTTCAAAACCAGTTTTTTAGAAACACTTTTAATGTTTATTTTATTTTTTGAGAGAGACAGAGAGAGAGAAAGCACGAGCAGGGGAGGGGCAGAGAGAGAGAGGAGACACAGAATCTGAAGGGCAGGCTCCAGGCACTGAGTTAGCTGTCAGCACAGAGCCCGACGAGGGGCTCGAACCCACGAACCGTGAAATCATGACCTGAGCTGAAGTCAGATGCTTAACCGACAGAGCCACCCAGGCACCCCAAAACCTGTTCTAATTTGGATGCAAAAATATCCAGAAAGTGAATGAAGTTTCAGAAAGAATCTCTTGCAAAGAGATTTCTTTTAAAGCCTATCACATGGAATAGAAGAATCTCTGAACTTTTTCATCATTATTCATGGAGTTCAGATTATTTTCCAGCTTTTTCTGGAGATAAAGTTTCTAGGTGAAACTTCATTTTATGAGTGCATTATAAATAAATAAGCTCCCAGAACATAAAGACTCTTTTATGAGAGATAAAGAGTATGGCTTTTTTTTTTTTTTTTTTTTTTAAATAATGCTCTACATTATAAGACATTTTTCGGTTTGGAAGAATGTCTTGATGGTTAATTCCTTCAAAAACTTAGGTTAAGTGTATCAGAACAATTGCTAACCTATAATCTTTAGAAAACAAGGTAATATCTTTTCCTTTCTTGGTGGCCATAGAAGAGGACCAGTTTAGTCACCATCAACCCACAGGTATTTTAAAGATTTTGCCAATTTCACCTTAGGATTTAATCAACATGCGTATATGTCAGGAGCTAGGAGGTTCCTTGGATCCCAGGAGGGTAGGAGAGCCTGAACTTCTAGAAGTGCTTTACAATTGTCTAAGTTACATTTGTTAGTAGTATCATGCCCCCAATATGGCCCCTGTATTTTTCTCTGGCAAAAAAATAAAAAAAGGTCAGAAAGGAAATTGAGGGATTCTGGGCTCAGATACTAGCCGTTAACTTGGAGCTTGATTTTTGAAAGTTGGGGGAAGGAGAATTAGTCATAAACTTGGGAACTGTGAGCTTTTTTTCCCTAAAGGGAGAGCCTGAACATCAAAAGTTGCAAAGAATGGCCCTAGATTGTTTTCCTTGTGCTCCATTGTTAGAGAATGACTTTCAGTTCTGTTGCTTCTGTGTAGTGGGTCAGTTATCTTCCTACGTGGTCTCTTTCTCAGACTTTGTTTGGGGGGTTCTAGCCATCATTTTATGGTGTTTGTGGGTACAAATGGAGGTCTAGGTCCTAAAGCCTTTCCATTTTCTAAGTATTTTATACAAAAGTCACATTTGTGGATCTACTTACTGTATTTGGATGTCAGCAAGTCCTCCTAACCTACAATGTGAGACAAAGTTGAGCAGGAAAAAAACAAACAAAATCGCCTTTAGAAATAAATATAATTTGTTCTGATTCTATGTCTACACTCAAGAAAAAGGAAATGTACTTTTAAAAGCTTTTTTGGGTCCCTGCTGATCACTTTACTCAGCTAATTTTTGATCAGTGGTTTGTTATGAATGCCATTTTGAATTGGTGACATTTTGTGGTGTTGGCAAAGTTATTCCTAACTTTTGTCCCGTCACCCCCCCCCCCCCCATCCAGAGAGCAAGAAGCCTTGTATAAGGCAAAACGTTGGTAGAAGAAATCTACATCTTATTTAAGTAGAGCTTGACCTCTGGGCCAGTCAATGTATTATTTCTCTACTAAGTCAAGTTAGCATGCAAATAAAGTAAATATAACCAGAAATGTAACAAGGAGATCTAATACTCATCAAATTTATTTCTAAAATATTGCAGTGGATTCAGAACCCTGAATTCCAACCAGATGTACTTCTGGCGTATTACACAGGTCATATATATTTCACTTTTTTTTTTTTGGTTCAAACCCAGGGGATTGACACGATAATTAGATTGAGAACATCTGCACCAAATCCAAACCATTTCCCTGATCTTTCCTTGAGCCTTCCCCACGGGAGGTTTTTTCTTTTCTTCTCTTTTCTTTTTAGGCCCCTGCACATTTTATTTGTCTAGCCACCTTTAGGGCAATTCCGAGGTCTCGACTGCCTGCCACCGCACGAATAGGAGAGGAGCGCAGACCTACCCTCAAGTGTGGGATACCGGGCAGGCAGGGGGTGGGGCTCTTTAGTCGTGGCTATTCGTCGGGACAGGGATCCCTAGAGGTGGCAGTGCAGTTTCCCGCCTGGGGCCTGGCTCCGGGACAGGGCGTGGCCAGGCACGGGGCGCGCGAGTGGGCACGTGCGCGGGGACCCAAGGACGCGAGTGTCGGGGCGCCGCTGCCCTCTACCGGGCGGCGCGGTCGGAGCCGCAGCGCGGCCGCCTGCCGACTGCGCGCGCGGGCTCGGGCGCCTCACACCGAGGCGGTCCTCGGCATTCCCGAGGTCGCCAGTGTCCTGCCCGGCGCAGCGTCACAGCATCTGCGGCCAAGGCTTGAGGCGCCCCTGCCTTACGCCCGCGCGCTCCCACCCACCTGCTTCCTGTCCCCTCTGCTGGGCGAAGCTGCGATGGGGACACCGAGGGAACCCCCCCGCCCCCGCCCGACCTCAGGAGCCAGCCATGCAATTGACAAAACTGATGCTCTTGGCAGCCTGAGACCTGGGGGGGCACGTGTCTTCTCTAAATCTTGTGGCCTTTCATTTCCAGGCCCTTCATTTAAAACTGCTCCTTTTCACCCCAACGACCAGCCGCTAAGCTCTCGAAATCAGTTGAAAAGCAGTTATATCCTACTTACACGTTTTATTTCGTATTCCATACGAATTTTATTTACACGTAATTTTCAAGATTAAGGAATTTGGGGATTTAACTAATCGCACGTCAAATGAAGTGCGGGAGAGTAAAAGTACAGTATTCCTGCTGGAAAGTCAAACTCACACGTGTGTATAATCAATTAAAGATGACGATCATAAAACGGTGTGCTTTTGCCAGTTTTCTGCGAAAAAAGGAATCAAAAGCGAATTGACTCTGGGGTTTAAATGCTAACATTTCTGTAAACCAGAGGAACCATACTTTGCTGTAAGCGCACCTACACTTCCCAACTTTCCGGCACCAAAAGGAGTGAAACCCGAAGTGTTTGAACTACAGGAAGTTTCCAAGGCTGTTCCGTCAAAGTAGTGCGGGGGATACACAACGGTGTGCCAAGACTTTTCCTGTCTTGGCCTAAGCTGGCGCAGCTCGGACCCCTGGCCACCCGGGTTGCGGGTGCGTGGCGGCGCGGGGACCGCGCTGCCACCGTTCGGGGCGTTAACGTGTGCAGCGACAGGAGGGTCAGGGCTGGTTTCACCCCAACTCCGCTCCCCCCAACTTCCAACGCTGTCCCTGGCAGGCTCGGCCGGGATCCTGCTGGCGCCCCTGGGAGGTGGGTGCGCGGCAACCGGCTGCCAGCCCACCCCGCACACGCGCGGCCGCCGTAGGCCGGGTTTGCGCGGGGTCGGCGTTCGGGCAGGTGGTCGTGGCGGCTCCGCGCGCTCGGGGCCAGCAGGCGGGCGAGCGAAAGCCGCGCGGCTCAGGCGCCCGCCCAGACGCGGCCGCAGGCCCCGGAGCCAGGGCCCTGAGGGGGCTACGCTCGGCCACCCGCGGCCCCCGCGGCCCCCAGGGGCCCGAAGCAAGCCCCAGGTGAGCCGGGCCCGGGGCCTCCCGCGGGGGCCCCGGCGCCCCTCCCGCCGCCCTCCAGCGCCCCCTCGGGGCCGGGCCGGGGGCCGCCGCCCGCTGGGGCCGGGGGCCCGGGAGGGGCGGGGGTCGCGGGCCGGGCGCCGGGCTCCGGGGGGGAGGGGGCAGGGGCCGAGCGCGCCAGGCCCCGCGGCGGCCGCCGCGCCCTCGGGCTCCGACTCCGGCTCCGGCTCGGGCTCGCCATGGCTGCGGCGGCGCCGTGAGGAGGAGTCCGCGTCCTCCGTGGCGGCGGCGGCGGCCGGCTCCAGGCCGGGTTTTGGCGCCGCCCGCCTGCTGCCTCCTGGCGGCTCCTGAACTCCAGCCCCCTCTCTATCAGCCTCTCACTCCGTCTCAATATGTCTCAAGATGGCGGCCAATGTGGGATCGATGTTTCAATATTGGAAGCGCTTTGATTTACAGCAGCTGCAGGTCAGGCTTCTGCTCGCTCGGCCTCTCGCCCGGGGGTGGGGGCTGCGGGCGGTCGCGGCCTCCCCCGGGGCCCCGGGCTGCCCGGCCGCCGGGGGGCCGCGGCGGCGGGGAGGAGGGGGGTGCCGGGGAAAGCGGGGCCGAGTCGGGGACAAGTCCCTCTCGCTCCCCGGCCCCCATTGATAACTCGCTTGATCAGAAATTGATCCTCTTTGTTCAATTCATCGATCAGCCCAAGATGGCGCCGGGAGCCGTCGCCGCCACCGCTGCCCCCGGTGTCGGCCCCCACCCCGGGCGCCCCCCCGGCCCTGCGCCCGCCGCCACCGCCGCCGCCGCCGCCGCGGGACCGGGGAGGGGGGCGGCCCCGGCGGCCCGCGGGGTGCGCGCGCGAGCGGGGAGCGGGCGGCGGCGGGCGGCGGCGGCGGGCGCTGCGCCGGGAGGGGGCTGCGGCCCGGCGGCGGCGTCCGGCCGCGCGCCCCGCGCCCCCGGCCCGCCGTATTCCCGGGGAAAGTTTGTGGGGAGTTGCTGTGGGGGGTGAAGCGCCTGCCTCTCCAGGAGGAGCCGCCGCCGCCGCCACTGCCGCCGGCGCGGCGGAGCTGGGGCTGGTGGCGCTGTGGTGCCGCCGGCTCGGGGGAGGGTCAGAGCGGCCACCGGCGGCGGCGGCGGCGGCGGCGCGGCCCGGCTCCGGCCAGGCGGGCGGGTGGCCGGGCGGGCGGCCGGGCGTCCGCGCGCCCCGGCCGGCCCGGGCCCCGGCCGCCGCACCGGGCTGTCAGCGGGCCGGGGCCGCGCCGCCGCTCCCGCACCCGGCGCGGGGGTTCCCGCGCGGACCCCGAGGTTTGTTTACGTCCGGACGGGTGCCCCGGGGCCACCGGCAGCCGCCCGGGTCTTTTGTGTGCCTGCCCGAGTGGCGCGGACCGGCCCCTCCGCGGGCAGAGACCCGGGTAGGGGTGCCTGGGGGTAAACTTGCGAGGGGCGGCGGGCAGCCCGCGCGCTGAGCCCGAGGGTCGCAGCGCCCCGCGGGAGCCGGTGCGGGCGGAGGGCAGCAACTTTCCCCGAGCTCAGGCCCCGCGCTGCGCCCTGGCGCGCCGTCTACCCGGTTGGGGGCCGCTTCCTCCCTGCCGCCGGTCCGGAGCCCCGACCCCAGAAGCTCCGGCGGCCCCCAGTGACCCGCCGGCTCTGCTCTGGCGCTCTCCTCTGAGGCCCTGACCTCCCAACTGGGTCCGCGGGCTCAATGGAGCGCGCGGCGGGTCCTTTCCGAAATGCCGCCTCGGGTCGGCTTCCCGAAAGCAAAGCCCCGGGGGCCCCGCTGGACTGTGATGTGCCGGGCCGTGGTCCGCGCGCCGAGCCCGGGGCGTTGCTCGGGGATCGTGCGGGGGCTCCCCGTCCGGCGCCGGTGCCGCCGTTGTGCCCAGGGGGCGCGTTTCTGCCTGCCACCCGCGACCCAGAGGAGCCGCGCGCCCTCGAGGTTCTTCCCGAACCTGCCGGCTCCGCGTTCGCGGCGCCTGGACAGCCCTGGGACCCCGCCAGGTGGATGTTGTGCGTAGCCGGAGCCAAGTTGAAGGTGAGCGGCGTGTGGGTCAGAAGCTCGGAGAGCTATGCGGGGGGGGAGGGAGGGAGGTGGAGGCGCGGGAGGGGAGGTCGGTCTTCGGCTCGGAAGGGCCGGGGGCGGCCTGGTACCGCGGGGGTCGCTCAGCGTCCCGCGGCGCCCAGCTTTAAGGTGTGCGGGAAGGTAAACTTGGCCGAACTTTCCTAACCCGGACGACTGGTGATAGTGACCTCCAGTACTTTTAGGAGGGAAGCAAATGAACTCCAGATGCAGCCTTGGATGAAATGAAGCGGATTGGATTAAAACCTATATAAATGGAGTCTGACAACTTTAATTGTATACGCTTGTTTTCTGTTCCTGCCTACGTAAGAACGATAAAGCAGACTCATAGTCGTTATGAAATTTCTACAGATCTCTCGCTTAACTAGGAAGAAGACTATGTGAAATATGTATTTCCGATAAGATTAAAACTTAAAGGAGTTTGAGTATTTATTGACTAAAATAGATTACTCCAAAGTGTCTATTGTGTAAATTAGATTCCTGAATGTAATGAACACAGCCCAATGGCATTTTTGATAAATTGGTCTACGGTGTTTTAGTAAAAATAGCTCCCTTTTACCATAATTTAATTCCTGTGCTTACTGTAAAACCCGTTGCGGAATTTTGAAGAGACAAAGCTTAATTCCCCCCCCCCCTTGTCGTCTTAAATGTGACATTTAGCTGAACATTCATGAGGTTTATTTTTTAAGCATTTTTGGCAGAAAACTGTTTGGGAGATGGGTTTGGTTGCCAGAGAGGTATTAGGGTTTAGGAACTCTGACACCCCACACCCTCGAGTGGTTAGCTACTTCAGGATGTCATGAGGATATTTAACTGTGTAACTCCAGGATTGGCGTGGAAGGTTCCTTGTCTGTTCATGTGAATGAGCTTTAAGGTGTTGATCTTGAAAACAAAATTAGGTGAGGCAGCATCATTATTCTCTGTAGTGAGCTTCCCTCAGCTTTTGGTGGTAGGTAAAGATTTGGGCTGAGATGATTTTTCTGCTGCCCCTTGACAGGTTTGAAAAACTTCATTTGACTACGGAATGCTGAAGTTCAAGCATAAGGCTAAACTGGTTTTTTCTCTGGACCCTGAAGAGGCCTATTGAGTTGGTATCCAGTTTACCGTCATCTCCGTTCCCATAGACAGTTAAGTGAGCCAATGAGACTGCAGTTGCAAAAGAGAGAATTCATTAGTTTCAGCCTCTTCTCGTCTTTCCCGAACCCCTGACCCAGAGATCGGGTTGCCTGCAGAGCCCAGTGTGGATGGTGGCACTGCCACCCGAGGGTAAAGAGGCCCCTTCTTGGTGAGATTCAGACCCAGGTTGGAGACCTCAGCAGGTTCCCCCCAGGCAAGATGGTTGTGTGCCCCTCCCCCGCTGCCCCATCCGTGAACCCCGGCCCAGTTCTGGTCCTTTCCCTTGGTCTCCAAGCTGCCTTGGGACGCAGACTGAGTGCCCAGAAATTTGGTGAAGATTGGGCTCTGTTTGGTTTCCTTTTTAGTCCCAGAGGCTTGTGTCAGTGCTTTGGTGTTGCTAATAAGACTAGTTGGACAAGTTTTTATCCTATCCCAGACTTGTAAAAACTAGGCTTTTTTTTTTTTTTTAAGACAAGAAAAACACCATTGTATAAATTTGCCTTTAAAATACATGTTTGAAAAGAGGACACCTTCTAAAACAAGCTCATGTAACTGTGTGAGTGAAGCTTTTGGGGATGGGGCCTGCCAGCGAGCAACTTCCCTTTGGGGTAGTATTCTTTCGTGGTGCCTGGTGTGCTCCTTTGAGGAGTCTCTGCAGAAGTAAACTCTGAACGTGTTCCTCTTTGTCCCAATCAGAAAATAATTTGAGTTTTGCCAAAAAGCCTGTTTTTCTGACAGGTTTTATTTAGCGTTTTCCTGTTAGGGAAGTATCTCCCAGAAGTGTGTTATTTTGATTAAGGTATGTATCCCATCTAGTAAACAAATCCAGGGCTTCCACACAGCTGCTGTCTTTGTTTTCTTGGCTTTGTCAATATCAGTGTCTGCGATTGCGTGTGGGAGGGGGTCATTGTCAGTGGATCAAAGTTTTTTCCTCTGTGAAACTGTATTTTTTTTTTAAAGGTCAAGGCAGTGAAGGGGTACAGTTCTGATACAGTTGGGTCCATAAAGTCCCCCTTTGCCTCCTTCCCGGGTTTCACGCAGCTGTTGCCAGTAGTTAGCTACGGGTGGTGGTTGGAAGGGCGAGGAGACAGATTGCCAGTCCCCTCAGGAATCACTCTCTCCTAATCCAGTGAGCCAGCCTTAAAACTGCTGCCCGGTGAGCCTGCGGAGCCCCCGAGGCCTTTAAAGGCTGTTGAAAAAGTCCCGTGCCCTGTTGTGTCCAAGTGAAAGAAACCCAGCAGGGTTTCTGTGCAGAAGGGGTGGTCTGTGCTTCCTGACCGGCCTCCCGCCTTCCGGCTCCACCTGTAGCAGCCCCCCCAGCAGAACTGCTCCCAGGGCTGTGGTCGTCTTAGGAGAGAAAACAAGGCTCGAAGTAGAAAACCCTTATTCGTTTTCAGCTCATTTTATGAAGCACGAGGAACAGCCTCAGTGAAACGAAGGAAGGACACATTTGTTAGAGGGAAGCTTGCATGTTTTTAAAAAAGAGAAATTCGTCCTGTAAAAAAAATCCTACAGAGCTAGGCCACATTCCTACCTGCGCTTCCGTCTGATACAGGTCCCCCATTGGACGTCCTTTAAATTTCACGTTTTTAAAAAGGCAGGTATATCCGATGGCCTGTGAGGCAAACTCTACCTGAAAGTTACTTTAATGTATAGGATCACACGTTATTTGAGAAATTATTTAAAAACCTACTTACAGTCATTTAACCTATGAACATGTATATACATGTAATGGCTTTTCCTATGAAAGGTCTGATTTTTACAAGGAACTGTCCGAGATAGAAATTCGTTATCTTGTTCTGTTGTTTTGTCTGAAACTCTGCATTATGGCTGCAGAGAGACAGTTTTGGTTTCAACCGAAATTCCCCTGCCTCTGATTGTTTAAACCAGACCCTTAATCTTATTTTAACATACTTAAAACGTTCAAAAAACCCGGAAGAATTGTTTTGTATAAGTAGCAAGTGAATGTAGTTTAAACACTCAAAGCAATTCTGGTATCTAATTGGAAACAGGTGGAATTCTTGGAATCTTGTGTTTGAATCTTATTATAGCAAAGCACAGAGACACTTTTTACTTATGGCCATTTGTTTTGTTGAAGCTGTTGGAAGAGGGGCCCCGTGACCTCTCATTGTGCCTCACTACTGTTTACCTGGACGTTCCGGTCGTGCTGGGCATTTTAGGAACTAAATGCCTGCGCCTGCCCAGACACCCGAGAGAACTATGTGTGTGCAGATCGTGGAGCGAAAAAAGGAACTTTAATGGCATAATTAGACAAGCAATTTAATATCTGCATTATATAGCTTTTATAGCAAAGAAGTGAATTCATTTGTGATTTCTGATTTAATAAACATTTATTGACGTGAGCATTTGGATACATTTTATAACACCCTGGTAATGATTTAGAATTCAGAGAGAAATTACTATTCCTAAAAGCTCTACATTTAGCAAGAGAAAGTCACATAGCAACCAAAAAAAAAAAAAACAACAACAACACACAACAACAAAAAAAACCAACCAAAAAACAAAACAGAAAAAAGCCCACCCCAAGTTTGGGATATTTCAACAAAATGTTAGTGGCGGGGCTCTCTGAAATATCTTAGTCATGTTTCCTATTTCTCATTTTCAAAAGCAGCTAAATAGTCCTGGCTTTGCTGCTTGGATAAGGACCGGGTTTTGGTTTTTGTTTACGTGTTGATTTTATTGAAGAGGACAGCGAAGGTTTATATTGAACTGGGTCCTGTCACAGTTTTGGATTTGCTGGGCTGTAATCAGTCCTAATTTTCAGCTGTATTCTAAGGAGGTAGGTAGAGGACAGTGGTTTTGGGGCAGAAGGTGTCCCTGCAGGTAGTTAGTTACCTGGGATTGAGGGTGGGGGACCCACGGCACTGCCTTCATTGGTAGAAGCACCTTTGAAGCCCCTTAGATTTTTAAAATGGACAAGTGCTACCCTACTCACATACTATGACCCCATTAAAAAACACAATGAGGGGGGCGCCTGGGTGGCTTAGTCGGTTAAGCGTCCGACTTTCGCTTAGGTCATGATCTCTTGGTTCGTGTGTTCGAGCCCTGCTTTTGGTTCTGTGCTGACTTCCAGCTCAGAGCCTGGAGCCTATTTCAGAGTCTGTGTCTCCCTCTCTCTCTGACCCTCCCCTGCTCACGGTGTCTCTCTCTCTCTCTCTCCTAGAAATAAATAAAAATATTAAAAACAAAAAACAAAAAACAAAACACAATGAGGGGCAAACAGCGGTTTCTGAAAGCCATCTAATTTGTCGCAAAAGCCGTCAAGGACCTTTCCTTGGAAAAGTAAACAGCTCTCTAATAAAAATAATTCTAATTCTTGCTGTAATTAAATTCTGATAGGATGATGTCAGTGCACGAAATCTTGTCATTTTCTTCATTTGAATCTGAAGGCTCCTCCTTTGCTGCAGGAGGCCCAGGAGAGTTGGCAGAATTTTTTTGTTAGAGCCCTGGGCCATGGGCAGCCCGGGGGAGCTCCTCAGACATGACCCCCCCCATCCTCAGGAACCCCGTCAGACAGGTGGCTGGAGAGGAGTGAGGTTGGCAGTGTTTGCTCCTCCCCCAAATTAACCCAGGATCACAAAGCACCTGGAAAAATAGCCAGGTGAACATCTACATGGACCTGAATAGATTCTGCTGCTTTTCACTAAAGCATTTGTGAAAACGATGCTTCTTTTAAAAAAAAAAAAAAAAAAATAAATCCTATTTTTTAAGTTTATTTATTTGTTTTGAGAGAGACCGAGTGTGTGTGTATGTGACCTCAAATGAACCAGGGAGGGGCAGAGAGAGACTCCCAAGCAGTCTCCATGCTGTCAGAACCA